ATCTTCTTCGTGCTTGATGCTTCAATCAAAGGCTTTGTTTTTTATGAGGAAGGTAATTGTCATAGACGGGACACACCTACAGGGTCACTATGGTGGGTGTCTAATAGCCGCAAGTGCTCTGGATGCGAATTTCCCTGTATTGTCGATCGATTTTGGAATTGTAAATAGCAAAAATGACAACCCCTGGACTTAGTTCATGGAAAAGCTGATAGACGCAGTTCCAGATGGCCCAGATCTAATTATTGTCTCGGATCGCCAGTCTTCTATTTATGAAAGCATAAGAAAGATAAATACACAAAGCTCCCTTGATTATCAAAATATATACAGTACATTTATATATAGGGACCACAGTAGTATGGAACAAATATGTAGGTTGTTAACAATTATGAAATAGGTTATCTAGTAAAACATCTATGAATTTAGGACTGAAAATATGTGTAATGGAATGTGTTAATATTTATCGCTTAATAGATAGTTTATCAAATAACTAAATACTCCTAATATTTAAAACAGCTACCGCTACCAAACTGGTTATGAGGTTACAATTCAAATTTATTGGTTATGAAATATTGATAAATATTTATCAACTAAATTAATCTTTATCAAGATTTCTTATTTTAGTAAACTAGTATATCACGGTTACATATTGTAATATATTATTTATCAAATTAAACAAAATTTATTTTCTGTTTTCTGCAGGTTTATCGAATGGTTTCGCATGCTGCATGTGTGGTGCATATGAAATAGAGCATCATTGCAATTTTCAAATCCGAACCCCTGAGATGTTTGGTATCAAGCGCCGCAAGGGCATACCGTCTAAGCGATTTCAATAAGATATTTGCTGAGATCCGGACAATGAGCGAAGCATGCGCTGATTACTTGACGGGAATTGGATTCGAGCATTGGACAATGTCTCATTTTGTTGGAGAAATGTACAACGTTATGACCAGAAACATCGTGGAGTCACTCAACAACGTGCTAACAATGGCGAGGGACTATCCCATTATCTCCATACTTGAAACCATCCGGGCTACCTTATTGACAAGGTTTGCCCGACGGCGCGAGGAATCTAGGGTGGAGGAAAATATACTACCTCCTTAGATAAATGAAATGGTTATCGAGAACTATGAGAAATGTTCAAACTACTTGGTTATGAAGATAGGAGATAGACAGTATGAGGTTTTAGATGATGAATATTCTCCTTTTATGGTCCATTTGTGGGTTACGACTAGGTTTAAGCAATGTTTATCTAAGCAATGTTCAGCATTTGAATATGTTTTGTATCTCCAAGGATAACAATACTAACTTGGAAGTTTTATTGTAGTTGAAATTTTGTGGGGTAAAATTTGTGTGGTATAACTCACGATGAGATAACGCACTTTAAAATCGATATCTATGTCAAATTAAGGTAAAAATAAGGAAAAACTGATAACAAAATGATTACATCGTAAACATATTATTGCCTAAATACATTATTGTAAGTCCGGAGAGGAGTCAATGAAGGAGTCAATGAAGCTATGTTTTAATTGTAGAAAAAGTTACGTTGGGTCAAATTGGTTTGATATATAACTAAATTAGCGATAGTATTCTTTATAATCGATATATATATAAATCGCGAAACTATGGGATTGTAGGAAGAAGTATAAAACAGCGATTAAGAAGTAGTATGGGAATGTCATAGACTAAAATTTAAAGAAAACAAAAATTTGGGACTTTTCAGATCTAACATTAAGGTGGCAAATTGTTGTTACCCCCAAACAAAGATAATTTGATAATCAATTACTTAAACGATACGATTAGCCGTATCAGACACACCTGCTTGGGATTCCTCCCGGCTACCTCAGTAACGGGGGGATGGTTGGCAAATCCTATGGTTCTTGTCTATAACGATCCTTCATCAGGGAACAGTGAATTTTCATTAGAGACTACGGTTTGGGACTTGTTAGAACTAACATTGTTGCCTAAATAAAAACAAGGTAAACCATGTATCAAAACGAGTACATCGTAAACATATTATTGCCTAAACACATTATTGTAAGTCCGGGGAGAAGTCAATGAAAGAGTCAGTGAAGCTATGTTGTAATTGTAGAAAAAGTTGTGTTGGGTAAACATGAGGGCCAGGTTGGAAGTAAACTGACATCGTCATCGACTAGTTCAACCGTGAGGTGTTTGGTTGCTACTATCCCCTGTTAGGATGTAAAAAGGTTTTTGTTACCACCAAACACAAAGATAACCTGGTAATCATCAACTTACTCGATAAGACAACAAAGAGGATACCACATGCTTGGGGCTCCTGCCTGCTACCTCGGGAACGGGGGAATGGTTGGCCATTCCTCTTGTTCTTGGATATAATGATCTTTCATCAGGGAGCAGTGAATTGGAAATTAATAGTCAACAAATATTAATTTATTTGCGAACTTATTAATCATGGACAAGGGATTGTGCACCTGCACGTCAAGAATGGGCCTTAGCACACATACTGGTCGGTAATGTGTCTTTTCCAATGGCATCGGTGTATGCTAATATAGATTATCTTTTTGTCTGGCTTCAGGCCGGGGTCCGCATGATTATTATCTTTTGGGTGTTATGGTATATATAGAAGGCTAGGAACGCCAAAATATTTGAAGATGTGGACGAGTCCCCTCAAGAGGTAACTAGGATTTCAGGAGAAGAGGCCAAGACTTGGCATGAGGCACATGCTGAAAAAATAGTTCTAGTTCCGCCGAGTGTAGTTAGCCCCCGGGTGCATATTTGTCAGGGAAGGGTACCTTTTACCGTCTACATGATATCGTTGCTTTGTGGACGGTTCCTGGAAAGACATGGATAAGTATGCAAGTGATGGTTGGGTCTGTCAGCACGCTCAGCATTCTACTATGATCATGGGAGCATCAAATCTCCAACGCAGCCTATCTCCACTCCACTATGAAGTCGAGGCTTTGCTTTGGGCGATGAGATGTATGATTAGACATGACTACAAAGATGTTACTTTTCTTGCGGACTGTTCTGAATTGGTGAAGATGGTGTCTTCTCCTTCGGAGTGGCCGATGTTCTCCGTGTTCTTGGATGATATCTGTCTCGATAGGGAATAATTCTCAACTTTCTCTTTATCTCTTATTCCTAGGAGTGGGAATGTAAAAAGCGGATTGTTAGGCTCGACGTGTTCGTTCCATTCCGCGTTTAGTCAAGTATGTAAAAATTGTCCCTATTGGCTTGTTTGAGCTAATTTATTGTTGACAAAAAAAAATTTATAATTCAGAAGCTTTCAATTTCTTGTAGTCCAAGTTAGTCTTTTGAGTCCAATGTTATTTTTTTTCGGCGAGTCCATTGATTTGTTTTCCCTAGTGTTTTCATTTTGTCTTTAGTTCTTTTTTCACTTTTCTTGTGGCTAAAAGTGGTTGTGTTCATGCCTTATGTGGCTTCGGATGACATAAATGTAGCGTTATATCTATCTGTATATAATAAATGTCCATGTTTTGTATTTAGGCCCATAAATTTATTAATATAAAATTTGAGTGATGGAGGACTTCAATGGTATCAAATACTACTTTGGATTTAACTAATATAATTAAATTTATTTCATATTATTATTTTGATATAAAATTTGAGTGATAGAGGACACCTTAAAATTTAGATATACATGTTAAAAACTAAATTATAATTAACTATAATTAATGTATTTATTTGAGAATAATTAATAATTTGATACAAATAGTGTTAAAATAATTTTTAAATTTTAGTGTATGTGAATTGAATCATTTAAAACGACAATGAATTATATTGTTTCAGTATCTGTTATGTTTAATGGATGACTACTCTTTATGTTTGTATGTCATTACATACTGCTATTTGAAAAAGCAGTTTTTTGGGTATAGTATTTCACACATTTAAAATTACTAATATCTATTTTTATTAAACCTGTCTTTAAATTTATTAGAATTTCCCATAACATAAACATCAAAAATTAGTGTGTCATTACTTATCAATACAAATAAATATATATATATATATATATATATGTATGTATATAGTATATCTTTATTGAGTTGTCTATCTATTTTAATTATCATTTTATAAAACCAAATTTAGTGTTATGTTGCATGTAATTATGATATAAATCTAAGTACCATTTCAATTTTTATTAAGTAACAAATTTCTAAAAAAGAATTAAAAGATAATTATCTAATACAAAAGATAAATTATTTAAAATAAAAGATAATTATATAATATAAAATATAATAATTAACATAAAAGATAGATCATTGAATTTAAAATATTAAAATTATTAATTTATTTAAAAAGCAGCTAAAAAATCTAATATGTATTTAATTATATGGGATAATTTTTATTATATATATAATCAACACACACAAGAACAACACAATCACTTCTCAGCAGATAAAACAATATCAAACTAAAATAAGGTAAACAGTATCATATAGAATGAGACTGAGATTATTTAGAAATATCCCTTTTGGTGTAATCCTTTTCAAAAAAAACCCATTCTATCTATGCATTTTTAAAAATACTTCTGTTTAAATATAAAACAATTATTAAGTTTATATGGTTTATAAGGTACTTTTACATAATTACTACTACTGGGAGATTCAATCCAAATAACTTATAATGTTTATAAGGGTTTTAAATCGTTTTTACAAAGTTTATAAGGTTTTAAAAGGTTTTAAACAAAATATATGGTATTTATGAAAGATATATGAAATTTTCTACACATGTAAAAGGTAATTTGTGTGTATATTTATAAGGTTACACACATATTTGGATAAAGTTTAACATTTTTAATGGCTGTTTTGATAAAGTTTGAAAAATGGTATTTTTGAAAACTGAAAAGTGGTATTTGAAAAGAGATAATTTTGAAATTCTCCCAAGATTTTTTTACTCAAAGATACCACAATTTATTATCAAAAACTGAAAAAACATATATTGAGAAATGCCAACATATGTCCTATACATGACTTTATCTATATTCTAAACCTTATTTTTTAACTATTATATTTTCTTTACAGTCTAAACAGAGTTGTGTCATCCTCTAGAAAGATAACTAATGGCAACAAAAAAGATATTATATGTTTTATTACTTTCGTTGATGATGTTTGGCCTCATCCATTTGCCCATGATTTCAGGTGAAAAATTTATTTGTTAAAGATAGATTATTTAAATATATTTACCTACATTTTTATGAAATATTTTTTTTCCTGTAAACAATGGTTGAGTTATAGTCAATTACAAATATTTTTATATATTATATTGATTATTTTCTTACTTCAATGATAATAAATGTGTTTATGATAAAAAAAAATAGGACAATCATATTATTATCAATGCAAGCATGACGGATGTACCAGCACACCAAAATGCTATAATCAGTGCTTGTCTATGGGATACCCGTTAGGAGGAGAGTGTCGAATATATAGTTATGGCGGTGATTGTTGTTGTAGACGAACTTCTAAACCTCCTTAATTACTAATCTATTCTTCGTTGTATATGTACTTACAATTATATTATGAATAAAATATATTTTTAAAATATATCTTTTGTTATGCAATCTACATTGAATTATACAAACACTAGTAATAGCCTAAAAAAAGCATGCCTGTACTAGTCCCAGATATAGGGGTTTAGTAGGTTCCTTTTATACTTTCAACATCTGCCTAATTCCACATATACGACATATATTCAATCCAAAGCGACCAAGACAAAATAATTTCACCCAATTAACCAAAATCAATCAAACTTCTCAAGAGTGTTTTAAAATTGATAATTCGCCTACACTATACTCTTCAATATTTGATCGAACAAGCCACTTGACTTTGCTTTCCCGAACTGATTTGCACAACCAACCATCGGAGCGACCGAGTAACAAGAGAGATGGGCTAGATTACTTTATTCCGTTGAAACACTTCTTCGATGAACCACCTGTTTCACTATCTTAGCTCTAACCTCAAATTTTCGAGCCCCACCTTATTTCTTCATCAACCAAGATCTAACTCCATGATATGTGAAAACTTTTGAAAAGTTCTAAGTTTAACCGAACTTGTTGGCTCAACCAACAATTTGTTACAATTCAATCCATACAATACTTCCATATCAATACTCACAATTCCACCATTGGATATGGCACTTGTACTATCACGAGTCTCTGAACAGTTTGTAGGGTTCTTACTTAACTCATAAATTAATTGGGAAGGAAGTAACAAGCTTGCCCCTTTGATTCAACTAACAAACCGTCAGTTTCTATGAACTCTTGGCTTGATGGTAATCACAACAGTAGATTCACCTCACCAGAAAAACATAGGCTCTGTCGCTAGTAAGTGTCCAAACTTGGTACCTTCTCACTGCCTTTATTTCTATCTTCCTTTAAAATTTGTTTCCTTCTCCACCTCTCCCTTCTCATATCCAACCTAACTTGGTTCCTCCACCACTAAGAACATGAATCACCAGACCGACAAGAGGCTATCCCTACCTCTACCGCATCTCTCTCCCTCTCATCCCATAACAACCTATCCTTTTCTTTTCATCTTCATGTCTCTTCCTTGTTCTCCATTTCTCTCAGTGTTCGCTAACACCACACCCAACCACAATACAATGACGATGGCTCTATAGGAATCAATTTGTTTCTTCACGGATTGATCTTATCGAGCACAAATGGAGATTGTTCACATTTGTAACAACAACATTAACAGAACATCAACTCCATCTCTTTTTCCTTTGTGTTGGTGGCTGCTACTTCTGATAGGGTTCAGTTGTGGTTGTGACATTCTTTCACTTTCTTAAAAGTCAAGCGTCGACTAAAGCAACCTCAGTCCATTTTTGGATAGCAATTTCTGGTATGTGAGTAGTTCGTGACTTTTTATGGCTGTGTGATTGATTTAATTAATCTCATGCATGTTGGGTTGGTTTAATATGCTTGTGTGTATAGCCTAGTAGATGGGACGATCGCTTTGCTAAGTATTTGTGATAATACTCACGCATCTCATTGTCTTTGTAGTGCAGGTAAAGTGTGACGTGGAATCATGGCAATGAGGAGGAGGATGATCAACGGTCTCAGTTGTTGTGTTTATGGTTATGTTATTGTTGTTGGAACCTGAATTAAAGGCATGATAGGTTGCTAGTGTAATTTGTGGTGATTAATTATTATTGTTAATTGGAGTTGGTTTAATATGTTTCCACTGTGTATGATGGTTTATTGTTGGGTTAATTTGGTTAGGTTAATTAGTAGGTATGATCGAGACTATTGATTAATTATTTTCTAAAATCAAACGGGTAGGGTCGTTTCAGATATCAAATTATACTAAGGTGTCCTTTTTGATTATGGAATTTCTTAGTTAAAATAAAAACTAGTTATACCAAGCCTTACTTTCGTTGTGCACATGTTAGAGATATACAGTAAATCCCTACATATTCTCTCAGTTTCTTTGGAATCATCTCTATGAGTCTCGTTTACATCTACGATTTTATTTGTTGGATTTGATTCTTCATGATAGCTTAAACCAATTACTACTTGCACTTGAATTCTAACAAACTCAAGTTTTAAACAAAACTGAGAGCATCAAAGTACCCAACTATGGTTACATTCTCTATAAAATTAAAAACAATAAACCGGTTTCTACTTACACAAACTCGGGTTATTCGTAGTTGTACTTGCAAATGGAAAAGAAGAAAAACAATGGTTTGATTTGTGTTAATTTTGAATCAGTGGTGAATTAGACTTAGAAGATAGAAGAATTAGTAGAGAAGGATCCGAATTGAATGGGTATTTTGGTTTGGGTGGATATAAGGATGGTTGGATTTGTAGATTCCAAATTTTTTAAGGGCACAAAAGATTTTAATCCCAATTATTGACCAAAACACCCCCAATTAATTATGAAGCTGTAACCAAAACAAATATAAAACTTTAGTTTTTAGTTATTCGATTTAGTAACTGTATATTTGAGGTTCTTATGGCTAGGAATGGTTGTGAAATGGTGAGAATGAACAACTAGCGTCTCTCTCTCTCTCTCTCTCTCTCTCTCTCTCTCTCTCTCTCTCTCTCTCTCTCTCTCTCTCTCTTCTAATTGTTTCTTCTAATTGTTTTACCTCTCATCTTCTTCTTTCATTTTCTCCATTTGTCTATGCTCCAAGCATCCAATAATTTAAATCTCATCACTTTATCTACGACAACGGAGAGATTTGTGTTTAGCGGCGGTTCTACTGTTGTTCAGATTGAAATCTAATGCATTTTGACTTTCAATTTTTTTTTTAATTTTTAATTCATTAAAGGGCCTTCAATCCAAATGGGCTTAGGCCTAAACAAATACAACATATCCACACAAAAAACAGAGAGAGATTAGGGTTTTGGCACAGTTATCTTGATCAGATCCTTGTGGCCACCAGATGTAGACGCCGACCAGTAATATTGGCGGATACAAGGGCCACTGCTTTGCGACATGAAGCGACTTCACTGAGCTCTTCAAAGGGAGTATCCGACTCCCAATACCGAGCCAGCTCCGACGGATTGATAGACACGCAACAACCCTCCCGGACAAGTCTCGCGTCCGACATCTGATTCTCCTTTTGAAAAATCTAACATCTAACCGACATCTAACCGAGCAACTCGTCAAACTTAAGATCTAACACGCGACCACTGTCTCCTGAACCTTCCCCCCCCTCCTCTGATTCTCCATTTGACTTTCAATTCGGACCTTAATGTTTATGAAATTTTAGGGAAATCATTTGAAAGTCAAACCTTTGAGTTGTAAATCGAAAACCCAATTTCTATTTCATAATTCAAAACCCAAAGTTGAAACCTTTCGACATGAACTAGATTTCTTGTTTCGTAAGTTTAAGGTTTGTGTCCTAAATTATAATCCCAAACCATCACTTGTAACTGGAGAGAGTTGAACACTGAAATATCAAACATTCATTTAAAGAAAAGTCATGTTGTGGGTGAGTGTTGTCTTCTTAAACGTTTACACCGTTAAGGGCGCAACAATTTCTTTGCTTCATTCTTTGATGGTTGTGATCCAATGGCTTTGATATTTGGTTGGTGTGATGTGTTTGAGAAGAAGATCCATGAGCTAATTGAGGTTTTTGGTCACGTGAGAAGAAGAAGATCCATGAGCTAATTGAGGTTTGACGTGATGAGTTTGTTTTAAAATTGACTCGTGGATTTAAGAAATATAGAGGATTTTCATTCTCCATATCCATAAATCAAGTCATCTACGCGCATAGTTCCGTCACCTCACATACAACCACATGAATGCATCCACATGACCACACCTATAATACTGCATCCATATAACCACTTCATGATAGTGCATCCATAATACTGCATCCACATAAACACTACATAGAACATACATATTTTAACATGTGGATACTGCTTTTTGTCTTTATTCATAACACTTTAACCATACGTAACCATATATTTTGTAAGACAGTTTATATTAGCTGGGTATGAAAAAAAAATTCAAATAAAAGTCATACAACTAAGCAAATCAATGAATCCATTAACACATGATTCTTATACATACATTTTTTCTAATGTACAATATTTTCGTGAATTATCAACAACATTCACCTCAAATGCAGAAAGTATTCACAAGAACACATCCACAAAATTGTATCCACGCATACATACGCATATACCAACATTTCACAACCACACAAGCACCATATACCACATAAATCACTTTAATTCCGTTGAAAAGTTCCATTTGCTTCTCACACAATCGTATTACCATTCTCACAACTAGAACTTGGAAAGCTGGAATTGAACAGAACATGGAGAAGACAGAAACAATCAAGCTGACATACATGAAATAAATACTTCTCTTGAAACCAAAATAGAGTGAAAGCTCAAATCAAAAGTTTGTCAAGCATGAAAACCACTGGAACTCTTAAAACTGCGAGTTCTGAGTATCATTATCTAAAATTCAGGCGGAAAATGAAATCCAAAGATCTTTTGATGATAGAAAAAAAAAGTTTCAAGTGAAAAACAAGCAGAAAACTAAACAAAGAAGAATAAGAAAGAAGAAGAGAAGTAAACAAAAAACGTATCAGGAAAAGCGACCATATAAACTTGAAGGTGTTCTTGGTTTAATGATGGATGAGTATAAAGAGGAAAGATAAATCCTTAAACTCTCTTCCAATTTGGAACAGCGGAACATGTACTATATAAATTTGGATCTAGGTTTTCTTTTGACACTAGGAATTTTAGGTCCTTCCAGTTCAATCTCCCCAATGTAATTGAGTACAAAAGGTTTATCGATCCAATTTGGGTGTGATGTAAACATACTGGATGAAACAGAAGCAAACAAGTTAAGCCAAGCATGATTAAGGTTTCAACTAACAAACTTAGGGGGTGTTATTGGATTCCAATTTATAAAGAGTTTAGATGATTATGATAAAATCATAGATTGCACATTGATGAAATATTCTAAAGTATTGTTAGAGAGTTTTATGTAATCTTGTTTACTAGATTTCTATAGTCTTGTAAAGTCTTTCAAACAATCTCTCTAATTTGATGATACTTTTCATGACTTTA